TAATATATATATATATAAAGAATTACAACACACAAGTTTCCCGTTAAAAATAAAGAAAGAACTTATCCGGGCCATATCGCCAGCCTCCGCATCACTGGTCTCGCCCGCTTCACCGCCGATGAAAAGCCCTTATCTCAATATAAAAAAAGAGAGAAAAAGAAAAAAAAAAAGAAAAAAAAAGGCTGAAAAAAGAACACCGACGGTCTTGATTCTTCTCCCCCCCCTAAACCCCCCCCGACTCTTCACCCCCTCACCCCCCCCCGACACCGAAAAAAGAGAGACGTATTTCATTTTCGCCTCTCTCTCTCTCTCTCTCTCTCTCTCTCTCTCTCTCTCTCTCTCTCCCTTCTTATCCTCCTATACTCTCCCTTCTCCTTAACCTTTCTCTCTCCCTCCCTTCTTCTTACCCTCTTTCTCTCTCCCCTCTCACTCTCTCTCCACATCTCGCCTTTCCCTTCCTCTCCCTCCCGTCCTCCATCTCTCCTTCGCTCCCTCTCCCCGCCCATTTCCTCGGGCGGGCGATTGTGAGCTATCCAGCGGCGACTCATCAGCGCGCTCATTATTACGACGCAGAAATTCCAACATTCCCGGCCGCGGCTCGGGGTGGGGAGGGGTAGGGTGGAGGGGGCCAGGGGGTGGTGAGGGAAACACGCTGATTGGTCATGGGCCCGCGAGCTTCCAGGCGAGGCGGCCGGTGATTGGTCGGGGGCGCGCTCCAGAGACCGGGTTCCAGCCTCCGCATCAAGTGATTAACGCCCTAATGTACACCGCCTTTTCCCCACCGCCCGTTTCCAGACGGGTTCGCCTCACTCCACTAAGGTTGCCCCCCCCCCCTTCCCCGCCCCCTCCCCCGCCTCAGGATTCATTCCAGAGGCCTGGAATTTGGATCTTGGCGTGGATTCCCAGAGAGTCTCGATTCCAGCCTCGCTTTGTCTCTTGAAGAAGTGTCCCTAGCAGACCCTTCCATGATATAAAGAGGGCTGGAACCAACCCCGTGACCCCCGGCATTACAACTCTTCCTCCTTGGTGCCGTAAGGGCGAGACTCGCGTGCGGCGCGGGCGGCGGAGCGTTCCGAGAGCTGGACAAACGCCCACTGGACTCTAATCTGGAGCCATTTGCGACAACGGCCAATAATCACTTCCTCTAACCGAACCGTCCTAGCCCGGCGCGCCTCGCATACAAAAGATAATCCTGAAGACTTCGTTTTTTATGGTCACCGGCGACACCCGGACCTCGTTTAGCTGGACTCGGCGCTTCCTGCGACTACCGGTCCGCTTAACGGGGAGGGAATTCGGATACGCCGACCGCCTCTGGAGGAGCGCAAACAGGACATCCATCCCGGATCCCCGCGACAGGACTCCCGCTCGCCGCCGGGATAAGGATGAGGCTCGGGCTGATCCCGCCTCATCCTGTTTTTATGGCCGGGCTAATATTATTGTTCCTCGTAGATAGGCACCATTATTTTGACTTATAACAGAGGGCGCTGGTGTTTCCTATCCCCTCCTCCTCCTCTTCCTCCTCCTCACCCCCCCTCCGCCCCCTTCCTTTTTACCCCCACCCCCCAACCTCTTCCATCGCACACCCCCACCATCACCGACGTAATGCCCGCGGCTAATACACCATCACACCAAAACACAAAATATCGCCAGTGGGGTTGGGAGGAAAGGCGGGGGGGGGGGGGGAGGGAGGGGAGGGAAAGAGGAGGGAGGAGGGAATAAGGCGGAGAAAGGGAGGGAAGAGAAAGAGGAGGGGACAGGGAGGGGGGTAGGGGGAGGGGAGGGCACACGACAAAGCTGCCGGGATAAGTTGGACATTTGTGTACATGTGTGGACAACCGTGTACAGATCTCCCGTCTCTTTTCTCACTCGCTCATTCTCTCTCTGACATGCACTCGCCTCTCTTTCTCTCTCTTTCGCTGGCACAGGATCTTTTTTCTCTCACCCCGAAACACACCCACTTCTTTCCTTTCTCCTCGTCTCATATATATATATATATATATATATATATATATATATATATATATATATATATATATATATATATATATATATATATACATATATATATATATAATAGATAGACAGATAGATAAATAGATACACACACACACATACACACACACACACACACACACACTACTTCCTCCTTATTCGTCTATTCCCTAAATTCTT